TATATATATATATATGTATATATGTATGTATGTATATATACACATACATACACTATACACAGCACAACACAACAACAGGCACTTAGTACAAGGTACAGGCTGTGCAAAGACGCTCCTGAGACACTTCAGCACATAATAGCAGGGTGGAAGATGCAGGCAGGAACAGCACACATGGAACGCCATAACCAAGTGGCTGGCAAAGTGTACAGGAAAATCTGCACTGAGGATGGGCTGCAAGTCCCAAGGTCACAATGGAAGAGAATGGCCGAGCTAAGATCCCGTGGGACTTCCAGATCCAGACCGACAAACTGGTGATGGCTAAGTAACCTGACATTGTGATGATTGACGAACAGAAGAAGGCAGTGGTGATAGATGTAGCAATCCCGAGCGGCAGTGACATCAAGAAAAAGGAACACGAGAAGCTCGAAAAATACCAAGGGCTGAAAGAGGAGCTAGAAAAGATGTGGGGAGTAAAGGCGACAGTGGTGCCAGTGGTAATCGGAGCACTGAAGGATGTGACCCCCAAACTGGGAGAGTGGCTCCAGCAGATTCCAGGTACATCTGAGGTCTCTGTCCAGAAGAGTGCAGTCCTAGAGACAGCTAAGATACTGCGCAGAACCCTAAGGCCTTGTTTACACAGATACCGCTACAAATAAAAACATATTTTCATTTATCCTGTATAAAGAAAATTCTGGGTTTACTCGATCGGTAGTGAAAACGATACACCTGTTTACATGTAAACGCAAAAACAGCAGTTTTTTGCTGCAATTAGCATGCCAGGCCAGTAGGTGGCAACATGCCATATGTCAAACACCACAGAAGAACGTTCTGCACATGCACAGTGATTTGTTTTCCTCTTGGTGCTAGTGATAAAAACAATGATAAACTACATTTTAACCTTATGTAGCATAGTTAGCTAGCTAGCTAGCTATGCACTTACTAATATTGGGTACAGCAGACGTCTTTGTGCACTGACATAGCGGTGATGTTGATGCAGCAGTGCTAAGTTAATTTGTAAGCTCGTAAGTAGTCCCAAAGGTGCTAAAAAAATATATCCGCCATTGTTGTTGTGGTTGCGGGGCGCCTAATGGGCATGTGCAAACTGGGTTGCAACGTCATCGTTTTCCAAAATCTCCATCTATCCTGTTTACTTGTCTCCATAGAAAATGATATTTTGAAAAAACTTTCACTTTCGAAGCCGTTTTTGAAAATCTGTGTTTTTGTCGAGAAAAACGCTGGTTATGTGTAAATGATAGATGCAAACGCAAAGATAAATACCCGTTTTCAGAAATATATGGAGCGGTATAAACAGGCCTTAAAACTCCCAGGCCTCTAGTAGAGGACCCGAGCTTGAGGGAGACACACCACCACCCCAATGAGAAGGCGATTTTCAAATTTTTTATATATATAATTAAATATATCAACAATGGATCAAATGACCAATGACTCTGCACTTCCCTGAGGCACCATAGAGCTTAATACAACCTGCAATTTTTACTGTTTTGGTTCACTCCCACAGCTCTCATCAGGGTCATTTTTGGCCACAGCAGGCAGCTGTTTCCAGCGGAAAAAGCTCTGATAAACCAATCACACACTACCTGCTCAACACCGAACTACACACTCTCACAGTTAGCGACTAGCTGGTGAACACAGCGGAGCATTTCACAGCTCTGGAGTCAGATATTTCCCTCAGAAATTGTTGGGAAAAAGGACAAGAGATGGAAAGAGAGTGAATATTAGACTCAAATGGATGGAAACATATCATGAAACAAGAGGAACATAACCTAAATACGTCTGCTTCCTCCCCTCCCTCCTCTCCCTCCTCTCCTATTATCTCCTCCTATCACTTCACTCCTCCCCCTTGTCTACCCCCCCTGCTTTTCACCCTCATTCTCTCCTCTCCTATAACGCCAATCCCCTCATCTCTCGATCTCTTTCTCCCGCTCTGTTTTTCCTCTCAACTTTAATACCCAATCTGCTCTACACAACTCCATTCGGCTCCCCCGATCTACTCCATCCCTCAGTTCTCTGCTCCTTAGTTCTTGGCAGGCGGCCAGCACCAGATCAGCTCCCCACCATTTCTGTCTCCTCTTTCTCCTTTACTCCCATCACCACCTGTTAACTCTTTTCCTCCCCCCTCCGTATTTCTTTTTTTTTCCCTTCACACACGGAGCAGAGAGAATTAGAATGGATGGGGTATAATGAAAGAAGTAAAATATATCTTTCATAACAGAAGTCGAAAAAGGGAATGACTGCTCTAATATTACCGCAACACCATCAAAGACAGGAAAAGAAATGGAAAAGGGCTGAACACAGTCGTCCCACGAGCTATCAGCAGTTGTAGAAAATGTGGCACCTGGGGTCTCATTTTGAAAAGGATCCTAATATTAAAATTTGATTCATGTTTCACTCTTTGAGCTCTATACCAGGCGGTGAATATGATTATAGCGGGAAAATCAGTGCAGCCGCAGTGGAAAACAAAGCTTGAACACGTCCTGATGAGTTATTATTAACATTATGAATTAATTATTAAACGGTCACCTTTGCTTGAAATTTTTCTTCCTAGGTGTATGAATAAAACAAGAGGCATTTGAGCCGACAGCATCCCATCATAATCACAGTGATAACAGATTAAAAAGAATCAGCAATGCTACTGAATTCATTAATTAAGCAAAATATTTATGTCAACATATTTTGCACGGTATCAATATGAACTCTCAGCAGTGAGAAGTTACAGTAGTTCCAAGAAAATTATTTTAGCCTCATTAATATGTAAATCTATGCAGCAAGGTGCTCCAAATTTAATCAGACCTTCTTCTCTACAGGGGCAGCTCTTCGTGTATGTATTGGATTCCTGTCATGTGCTGTTCTCGAGTTAGTGTTCACCAAAAAAGAAAAAAAAAAAATCGCTCACTACACACAGACACAGACAGACAGATGTCAGCATGATGGTATTAAAAAGAATAACAAAGAGCACAAGAAGTTTTTGTCAAAGTGTCCTTGGCTGTTCTCAGAGTGAATTATGCAATGAATATTCCAATCTACTGCTTGTTAAATCAGGCAGAAAAATACCTATTCATTTTAATTGGTTATGAGATTAACCACAAGGCCACAGAGCTCACACCTGATTGGGCGGATAAGAGAGGCTAACTCTTTTATAAGAGACTTGTGGCCTTGAGTCAGAAGCCTTGAAATACAGATAGATACATACAGATATCCTCACTAATACACTTAGATGTAGGTGATTTAAGCAAGCGGTGGGAGGCGGATGAGAGGGGACGCCATACTCTTGTTATTAAAATGATCAAAATGACTCCCCCTTGTTAATCTGCCTTCTCTCCTTCCCTCCAGTCACAAACAGGTGGACTGCGGTCTGGGTCCTGACACATACGCCACCCTCTCCAGACCCTAACCCATGACCAGTAAATTATCGGGAATTAGCCTCTTTGATTTTAAAGGAGCATTTCTAGTTTAACCGCTGCAACATTTCCAGAAGAGTTGGGTGATGTATACCAAATTACCACATGACAATATCCAGAGTGCAGCATGGTGATGGACAATAGGCTTGTTTGAAACAGACTGCGCCTCGCCTGGAAAGTGGAACAGATCAGGCATCTGCAGCAGGAGGTGGTGACAAAAAGCTGCTGTCAGATTGGACAGTTTCTCGACAGTTTCCAACAGGAAGTCAAGAAATCACTCACATCCTGTCCGATATGATGTTGACTTACTACAATATTATCAGACTCATGTATGAGTTTGTTCATGGTCTCCAGTTATTTTAGTTATGACAGATTGAGTTATTAAAATGCTTCAGTCTTTCTGTAATGTAAGTTCATGGTTCAACCTCCATTTGATAGGAATTCTCATGTAAATCAGCATCGTATCACCTTACTGCTGAGCAAATCTGTCCCCTCAAATACACAGGCTAAATAAATTGTGTCTGACTATAAGGTTAATATTTTCAGAGGAAAAAATATACAAGACAACAGCTTCCATTACAGATCAGTCAGATGTAATCAGGGCTTCACATCTGTACAGATGTTATTTTAAGGATCCTCACATCTCACTCACCACAGGTCTCTGTGATGCTAAATACTTCAATAATTAAAATGGTCAAATGTTAATACACAACAGACTCTGCATAGTTTATGATGGATGTATTTGAACATCACCATCAGTCTCACAACATGTTTTCTGTGAACAGACTAAACCTTCGAATCAGACAAATAACATATAAATCTTTGGAATTCAACAAAAATGAAACGTTTATCCTAGGAAGGCACCGAAATGAAAATTTGTGGCCGAAGCCGAAGCCGAATATTATTAAACGCTTGGCCGAATACCG